CATTATCATATACCATTTACCCAAACATTAAGAACACCAGATTGTCACGATCATCTAGAGTACAGGTTTCATTGTACAAATACGTAAGCCAAAAATGATGACACAGAATTATTTTCAAGACAACAAAGTTCAAATCTGGCTAAGTTTCTGGACACAAAGTTCTTGCAATTCTTCCACGCAAATGGCAAAGACATATCCCAAATAGTTCACTAGACAGTCTAAGGAAAAAGAGGAAGACGCCTTAGGCAGTGGAAAACCCCTTGAGACGGTCTGTCACACTTATAGACCAGCTTAAACCGCCCCCATTCAAATATACCAGTATGTCGCAATCCTTGGGGGCGATACCAACTGCGCATACAATATGAGGGTGCATGAAATATTAGATGTGTACAATTGAGATATTAAGTAGAGAAAACACTAGGAAAATAAAATTGAAGATATAAAAAAAGTACATAATAAGAATGAAAAATTAAAGAAAGGCCTCATTTTACAGTCAGTTCAAAATAAATATCCAAACTGCAACGTATATCCCCTGTACGTTCGGTTTGGAACATTCCGGTCTCGCCTCGTTTTGAGACGGTGGGTCAAGGAAACTTAGCATATATTTGTTAGGTAGGCGTGTGACTGAATACTGTACTTTTTACGCGATACTCTTAAACTAAAACAGCCAAACTTGCGATATAGAACGAAGATTCTCAAGATTCAAGTCTTCAAAATGGTGGCAAGAAACAAGTCGGAGAGTTTTCGGACCGTTTTCGTGGGCTTTCTTGCAGTTTTGACGGTAAGGGAATTTTTGAAGGATTTTACTTCCGTGTTTGAGTTCGTTTGTTGTTCCGAAGCATTATAACCTTAACACCGTGGTTTTAAGGGCTTTGTGTAATGTCTAGTGGTGTATTTAGTCTCCCGGTCATCATAATAAAGATTCCACAATGTTCCATCTTATCAATATTGGGTAAATCAAGTGTCAATGTTGAAAAGATTAGTCTTTTGTGGCATGTTCTGCTTTTACAGCCTGATGAATTGCTATTTCCGTGTACACAACGTTGTGCTTTGAGAGTGTTTTTCAAAGACACATTTACACAGCTTTGCCTGCACTTCGACTGCAATATATAACGCTTTTGTGTACAATATAATTATGTTATGAACATTTAAGATTTCTCTTATTTGTTGTGATTAATTTAAGTTTCTTTATTGATATGGGGGTATGTATATTCTCAGGGTTAGGGAAGTGGCTAGTGTCCAAGAACTTTTGAATTTTTTTTCGCACACTTTCTTATACCCATGATGGCAATAGCCTCCGTAGCAGGCTTATAGAACTGGGGGTTTGGTGGTCTTCGGCTGTTTTCTGATTTGCCCAGTTCAAAAACGGGGGGTAATTCAACCAGGCCAGCTATATATATGCTATATGCAATCAGAAAATAGCACATAAAAGCTCCCAAAGACCCTGAAGACCCCCCAAACCCCCAGTTTTTGGCATGCTATGGAGGCTAGCATGGCAACATGACCTCAGTACTTGGTATGTGATTTGTTTTGTGCAAATCTATTAATCTTAATCAAATGATTCAAAGTTCAAATATGTGAGTTAACGTGCGCCTGAAAAACATGTCGGTATTTGACCTGTGGGTTCTGGTATGTGCAAATATTGAATCGTTGAACATTTCGGCCAGTTCGGTAAATACATTAGTGCGCAGTATAGACATATTAATGAAACTTGAAAACTATGTTTCTGCTTCCTTTACTATATAAACATTAACTCTTAGTGTCACGGACGAAAGGTAGTGGGTGCTAACTGAAACGTCTGACCGTTTCCAAAATCATATCCAGTTGCTTGAGTAACTGTTTTTTGGCGTATCTTATTACCTGGATGTCTAACCCTCACCGACATATATTAACGTTTCTTTGGTACAACCAGTGTATTATGTGTTACTATAGATACATTTGGTGTAGGTTGCATAAACATAAGTATTTTTGAAGGGGGGTACTAAATATGTGTTGCAGCTGTTGATAAGATAGGTTGCAAATTGTGTTGTTTAAATAAATTGCACTTTGTTCAAAGCTGGTTGAGCTAGGGGCACGTTTTGGCCGATAGGGTGACTTGAGAATGTTTACCGCTATTCTTTTTGTGGTACAGTTCAATATAAAACTTTAGGGGCACAACGGTTCACTAAATGTGATGCCTTCTCTCTTTCTAGCCCTCTATCGGTCACCAGGTCTGTCTCTCTCGTTTTCTGTCTCTCTTCCTCTGTCTCAATCTCTCTCTCTCTCTCTCTCTCAAAGAACCCCGCCTCCATTTACCTTAGCACATGTGAAACCCGAGAACACACCCCCTTCATTGATTTAATTGTGACACTCTCAAAAACATGTTGACAAGAATCAACCCATAGTAAACGGAACATATCAGTTACAGCTTGGTTACCGAGTTGTTGCCGATGGTCTATAGCCTCCACTAGGCCTTTCCAAGGGGCCATGCATTGTAGATTTCAGCCAGAAAAGTGGGCATA